GAATTCCGTAACAGCCAGCTCGTCGCTGTCATGAGGAGGAAAGTGACTGTGATGAAAAGGACAAAGGTGACTCTGAGGAAGAGACAGGGGCAAAAAGCCTAACATTAAAGAAACTCTCAGAGCTATTTCATGACATTGAAAGCTCAAGGGATAAAAAGTTAAGAGGCCGGACGCAGTGGCTCACGCCTATAATCTCAGCACTTTGGGAGGCCGAGGTGGACCGATCACTTGAGGTCAGGAGCTTGAGACCAGCCTGGCCAACATGGTGAAACACTCTCTCCACTAAAAATATAAAAATTAACTGGACGTGGTGGCACGTCTCTGTAATCCCAGCTACTCTGGAGGCTGAGGCAGGAGAATCGCTTGAACCTGGGAGGCAGAGGATGCAGTGAGCTGAGATCGTGCCACTGCACTTCAGCCTCAGGGTGACAGAGCGAAACTCCATCTCAAAAAGAGAAAGAAAGAAAAATTAGAAACTGATCCAAATTTAGAATGGAGTATGATAATTCAGCAAGGCATAAAAAAGATGTTAACTCCTTATAGTAAGTTATATGGGCTGGGCGCCATGGCTCATGCCTGTAACCCCAACACTTTGAGAGGCTAAGGCAGGTGGATCGCTTGAGCTCAGGAGTTCGAGACCAGCCTGGGCAACATGATGAAACCCTGTCTCTACTAAAAACACAAAAATTAGCTAGGTGTGGTGGTGCATGCCTATAGTCCCAGCTACTTGGGGGACTGATGTGGAAGGATTGCTTGAGCCTGGGAGGTCGAAGCTTCAGTAAGCTAAGATCACACCACTGCACTCCAGCCTGGGAAACAGAGTGAGACCCTGTCTCAAAAAAAATAAAGAAAGAAAGAATTAAGTTATATGGCAAGAAAAAGACAAGCACTGTTCAAACTATTATTTATATTTTTTTATTATAATAGAGATGAAGTCTCACTTTTTTGCCCAGGCTGGTCTCGAACTCCTGAGCTCAAGTGCTCCTCCCACCCCAGCCTCCCAAAGTGCTAGGATTACAGGTATGAGCCACCATGCATGGCCCAAACTATTCCTGGTAAGTATTTAAAAAAACAAACAAACAAACAAAATACTTAATTCTCAATGTTTCTGGCATTTTAAATTAGTGTCCTAAATAAACACTAACTTTACAATTTTTTTCTTCATGTCTTACATACTTATAGCAACAGTTGGAGTGTTGTCAATGTTTTGACAAAAATTTTAAAGGCCATAAAATAATAATAATAATTTTCCCATTGGTTATTAAGATCCCTTGGTACTATTCAAGCTTAAACAATGATTTTTATGGTGTCTGACTACCTTGCAAATCTGTGACTGCCTGTACTTATTTTATGTGACCGTTCTGTGACATAGGGCTCTTTTGATCATTCCCGCCTTTGTGAAACACAATTGTGCCCTGTTTTTCCATGACCCCACTATCTCCAGTATCCCCTCCGTCCCATCCCAGGTTTCTTTCCAGCTTCTCTTCTCTTGCTTATCTTTTGGATGTTGGTGATCCTGGAGCTCTGTTTTTGACCTTTTGTTTCTTACTCTACATACTCTTCTGGTTCTGGCCTTTGTTATACTTGAAACTTCTCCCCTGTATTAGCCTGTTTTAATGCTACTGAAAAAGACGTAACTGAGACTGGGTAATTTATAAAGAAAAAGAGGTGTAGTGGACTCAGTTCAACGTGGCTGGGGAGACCTCACAACCATGGCAGAAGGCAAAAGGCACGTCTTACATGGCACCAGACAAAAGGGAAAAGTGAGAGCCAAGTGAAAGGGGAAACTCATTATAAAACCATCAAATCTTGTGAGACTTATTTATTACCATGAGAACAGTGTGGGGGAAACCACCCATATGGTTCAATTATCTCCCACTGGGTCCCTCCCACAACATGTGGGAATTATGGGAGCCACAATACAAGATGAGAATTGGATGGAGATACAGCCAGACCACATCATCCACCTCAGGTGGTGATGATGATGTTAAAGTGGAGAAAGGGAAAAAAGGGGACTTTACCAAATGATAGGAGGCAGGGTTTTTTTGGGAAAAAGCAGGATATGGGGTGTCTAGGTTTAAGACAGAGCCCAAGGAGCCAATGAAGTTTGTGGATAACCTATGAAATGTTCTATATGGATAGCTATGAAAATGGATATCTATGGATATAGATAGCTATAAAAATTTCATTAATTCATTCACTTCACGAATATTTACTAACTTGTACCATGTATCAGGCACAGTTCCAGATGCTGGAGCACTGTGGACTGATATCGTGTGCAGTACAATTCGATACCTTGCGAGAGAAAGAGACCACATTCACATAACTGTTATTACAGTATATATCATCATAGTCATTCTACAGTTGACTCTTGAACAATACGATGGGTAGGAGTGCTGATAGCATGCAGTCAAAACTTTGTGTATAATTTTGACTCCCCCAAATCTTAACTAATAGCCTACTGTTGACCAGAAGCCTTACTGATAACATAAACAGTCGATTAAGACGTATTTTGTATGCTACACACATTATATACTGTATCCTAATAGGAATATTATATTGTAAGTTACAAAATGCATAAGTTAGAGAAAAGAACATGTCATTAAGAAAATCATAAGGAAGAGAAAATACATTTACTATTCACTAAGTGAAAGCGGATCATCATAAAGGTCTTCATCCTTGTCATCTTCACAGAGTAGCTGAAGAGGAGCAGGAGGAAGAGGAAGAGGAGGGGTTGGCCTTACAGTCTCAGGGGTGGCAGAGGTGGATGAAAATCTACATATAAACAAACCCATACAGTTCAAACCCATGTTGTTCTAGGGTCAGCTGAATTTTATTATTAGTTACTGTTAATCTCTTACTGTGCCTAATTTTTTAATTAAACTTTGTCATAGGTATGTATGTATAGAAAAAAACATAGTATATAGAGGGCTCTGTACTCTCTGAGGTTTCAGCATCCACTGTGGGTCTTGGGACATATTGCCAAGGGATTAGGGGCCCTATCGTAATTGGTTTAAAATGGTGAATATGCACTTACCTGTCCTCCAGAAATACTACCCAACCTCTGTCATTTAGTTCATTAATTATTCTAGTGGCAGAAACTACAGATCTACCTTATGGGGAAGGTATTTTATTTTGGGCAAGAAGGTCTTCAGCCCCACAAGCCATGCCACATGCATCTGCCTATTAGGACAGGCAGTGCTGTGAATCAGAATGGACCAAATTAAAAATCTTGAGATTACCTTTGCAGATGCGTCTTGCTTTGTAAAATCACAGTATTCCTGAAAAGCCATGCGTAAATTAGTTTCTTTCATTCTTTACATTTATATAGTGCCTTCTGGTTGCAACAGACTACAGAGATCGTTAGTTGTCTTTTTCCTGACAATGGTAGATGAAAGGAGGGGTCACTCCTCTCATTCCCATAGAACAGAAGAGAAACTCACAGCTAAGAAATGTTCTGCGGCGGGGCACAGTGGCTCATGCCTGTAATCACAGCACTTTGGGAGGCTGAGGTGGGAGGATCACTTGAGGCCAGTTCAGGGTCTCACACTGTTGACTAGCCTGGTTAACAGAACGAGACCCCATCTCTACAAAAAATTTTTAAAATTAGCCAGGCGTGGTGGCACGTGCCTGTGGCCTCAGCTGCTCAGGAGGCTGAGGAAGGAGAATCACTTGGGCCCAGGAGTTCCAAGCTGCCGTGAGCTGTGATCGCACCACTGCACTCCAGCCTGGGCAACAGAGCAAGGCTGTCTCAAAAGCAAAACAAAACAAAATGAAAGAAAAAGAAAGAAAGTAAATTCCGTGATGGTAAGTGATGGATCTGTATTTCAAATAATATATTTCATTTTATGTTTATAAAAATAATATGTGTTTCAAATAACATATTCTCAGAATTCATATTAAAAAGATCCCGACAGAGATTCCACTGTTAAGAATGCTCTCATAGATGTAAACTTCCACTCTACACTGTGGGCAACGCTAGATTTTTACAAATCAGGTTTGCTGTGTAACACACGCATGTACTGTGCATTACTAAACCTAGTTCTAAATACAGTACAGCTGAAATTTGGTGGGTAACGTGATCATTCAGCAAATGCTGCCAGCCCCTATCATATTCAGAACCCTGTGTTCTGAGGTGCTCAAGTTCAAGCTGAGGAATTTGCTAAACAAATCTCTGGCAAGGAATCAGCAGTGATTTTCTGTATCCTTAAATCCTTCCAAATAGAAATGGCAAGACATACGACCCGAGTCCATAATTCCCAAAGTGTCGATCTCCTCACACTGTTTGAGTTTTAACTCGTTTATTCCCCCAAAAGAGTATGCCATTTACTTAATTTAAAAATTAAACAGCATAAAAACTTCTGAACTCTGAGTGAAACAGCAATCAGAACTGATTTCGTGGGTTTCCGTGAAAAATGGGAAATAGACGTGATGGAGAGAGACCCAGCAGTGCCACGGCCGGGTAGAGGGTGCGGGGGTGTTTGTGCGAGAGCGCGTGGGTAGACACGCGGGCACGGGGGGGAGGCCTTCCCAGCGTTCCAGCTACACTGGGCGCGCGGGGGCGAAAACATGTGCATGGTGTTTGGGGACTGTGCGCATGGGAGTGTTTTCACTGTCAACCAGGGTTCTTTTTCTTATTTTGAACCTATTTTCATGATGCACTGAAATGCTTAAGTTTAAAATTGCCTACGGAGAATTTTAAGACTAAAACGACACTAAGTTTCTTAACTATAAATGCGTGTCAGAGTGAAAGCCGAGTAGGGAGGAGGGAAAAGGGGGAAAAGGGAAGAGGTAAGAAGAAGAAAAGATGAAAGAGCCGACGGAAGAGGGAGGGAAGCGGGGGCGTGCAGAAGGGAGGAGACAGGAAAAGAGCAGCGCCGGTTGCGGCAAAGCCCCGCGCGCAGCAGCCAGCCGAGGCCCGGGCGCGCGGTCCTCCCGCCGGCAGGGGGCGCGCGCCCTCCCGCCTCCGGCCCCGCGCGGCCCGCTGCCCCGCCCGCGCCTGCGCTTCCTGCCCCTCCTCGTCCGGGATGCTGCTGCCGCTACTGCGGAGTAGCTGTTTCCCTTCCTCCTCTCCCGGCGGCGGCAGCGGCGGAGGCGGCGGAGGAGGAGGAGAAGGAGGGGACCAGGGCGCCGAGAGCCGGCCGGCGGCGCAGTTGCAGCGCGGAGCCCACGGGCCGCCGGAGCCGCTCGAGCGAGCGGAAGCCGAGCCCGGGGCCGACCCCCCGCGCGCGGCGGAGGCCGAGGGGGCGCCGGGGCCCGGGGCGCCGGCCCCGGGCTCGGCTTCCGCTCGCTCGAGCGGCTCCGGCGGCCCGCGCGTGGCCGGGGGCGGGGCGGCGGCGGGCGGCAGGCCGAGCGGGAGCCGCATGCGTGCACAGATCAGGCGCCGCGCTGCAGAGGCGGGTCGGGGGTAGCGGCGGCGGCGGCGGCGGTCTGGGCTGAACTCCCCGGCGCTGTCGGGCGGCCAGAGGCCGCCGGAGAGCAGCCCCGGGCGCCGCGCTGCAGAGGCGGGTCGGGGGCGGCGGCGGCGGCGGCGGCGGTCTGGGCGCGGGCTCCCCGGCGCTGTCGGGCGGCCAGGGCCGCCGGAGGAAACAGCCCCCCAGGCCTGCCGACTTCAAGTTGCAGGTCATCATCATCGGCTCCCGCGGCGTGGGCAAGACCAGCCTGATGGAGCGCTTCACCGACGACACCTTCTGCGAGGCCTGCAAGTCCACCGTGGGTAAGGGCGCTGCGGCGACCCCGGGCTGGGCCTCCTGGCGCCCGGGCCGGTGCCCTTCGCCCCAGGGGCTTTGGGTCTCATCGAGCCTGGGAGCCTTTCAGGCGGAGATGGGCCTCTCGGTGAAACTGGGGGCGGGGGTCTCCGTGGAGGGCGCTGCATCCCGATCCCAAAGTCTGGCAGAGGTTTTCGTGCCGCCTCCGTGCAGACCTGCCCTTGGCCCCCGGCCCTGCCTCAGAGGTCCTGGCAGCCCCTGGGGCCTGTGGGGGCGGCTCTCCATGGAAACTTCGACCCTTTGCGTCCTTGCCCAAGAAAAGGCTGGGTTCGAGTGGGGCGCAGGCAGGCAGGGGAGTGAACGCCGAAGGCCGCTCTTGCCCGGGCCGCCCCGGCCCACCAAGGCCAGCGCGTGCCGTCTACTGCGGGTGTGATCCCTTCGCAACCAGGGCAGTTTTCTTATTTTGAACCCATTTTCAAGAAATAATGAAGTTTAAAGTCACCTCTGGAGAACGTTAAGACTAAAACTACAGTAAGTTTCTCATGCTAGCCATAAGTACGGGGCAGAGGAACTTCAGCTGTATTTATCCATGACCTCAAACAACCCGGTGACTGGCGGGCGTGGGGCTGATTCGTCCAGTGCCGCTCTTTTCGGTGAAGGACAGGAGTAAAGTAAATACAGGAACGCTCCAGGGTCAAGGAGGAGAATAGCCGCGTATCTGAAATGGAAACTGCAGGGGAAATTTTTTTAATGAAGTCATGCTTAGAGGACTTGACATTGAGATTTGTCACTTGGATGTGGGTAGCAGTTGCTTCTGTGGAAAACCCCTTAAAAGATGTCCAAACTAGGAGAACCCCATTCTTTAAAGGGCAGTCACCTTCTGTGATAGGAAGTGAGAGATTTCCCCAGGGGCGGTCCAAGAAACTGAGTAGTCAGGAGATTTGATAGAATTGAAAGTATAATTTCATGTAATTCTGTTTATTAATAGTGTTACAACCAGTGGTAGTTCCAAGGCTGTCAGTACGATTTTGAGATAACTTTGTTTGAAATTGTCATGTAACAAAACAGTACTACATTTAAAGTGTCTTATTGGAAAATTAAACCTCCAATTTTTGTGTTGTTTTTTTGTTTTGTTTTCAAGAACTTACTTCTCTCAATGCTTTTTTGGAATGGATCATTTTGGAAATATTTGTGATGTCTGTACCGTATGTTTTTAAAATGTTGGCATTGGGTACATGGTATTAAAATGAGTCGTATAACTATATCTGTTTCAAATATCCAGTCTTAGATCATACAGAGAACAGGGAGTTGTTAAACCATCAAATGAGAGTTAGGCTGTTATTTTAGTACCTGACATAAATAAAATAGGGTTAAATTCAATTCAGAATTGTCAATCTTTTGTGGCTGCGTACTTCAGTATATAAAAATGAGGGATAATAGAGTTGCGCTGTGCGATGAAGAGAAATCAGGTATCCATAGGTGGGTAACTGAAAGCTTGAGTGGATGGAGGGTGAGATGGATGAGCAAAGGTGTGCTTTAGGATGCACAAGAGGAGAGAGGAATAAGGATTTTCTAAGCCTGGCAGTAGTGAAGCAGCCCCCCACCTCTGGGGAGGGTTCCTTAGGGGACTTGGGAATGGATGCTGCGAGACCTTGACTGCCATGCTGAGGAGAGTGGACCCTATCCTATGGGCACCTGGAACCAAAATCTTCTTAGTAAGGCATTGGCACGAAAACAGTGAAACTAATTTAGCAGAGTTGCATAGGATGTTTGGGAATAAGGAAGAAACCAGGAGGCAAGGAGACCAGGCAGTTTGTTTCTGTGTCCCTTAACAAACATGCACTTAACCCGAGCACATACTCCCTACTGAGTGTGGTTGAATTTCTGTCTCGTTCATTTTTGTTTGCTTCACATGTAGCCTATAATACCTGGAATACTGGAGTACTCTAGTACTCAGTGCATGCTTCTAACTGTGGGATGTTCAGAGAATGATCATGGCCCCTGGCCTGCCGCAGAGCATGAAGACACTGTGAGAAAGCTAACCAGCTCCGCTTCAGTTTCTGCTTCAGAGCTGCTTTTCCCCTCCACTCATCAGATCGTTTGTTGTGCACCTACTGTGTGTTGGGTGTTATGCTACCCAGTGGGGATTCAGTGGTAAACAGGACATGGGCTCTGCCCAGAAGTGGATCGGAGCTTCTGGGAGCTGCATGACTGCTTGTCAGGGCAGTGACAGATGTGTATGGATATTTGGGAGCACAGTGAAAGCATCTCCAGTCGGGGCTAGGGATGAGGCCTGGGCAGAGAAGGCTTCCTCGTCATTGGAATGTTTGAAGATAACTTTGTTCCTCTAGTTCCTTTAGAAACATGCAAATTAAATATGGTACCGGCTGTGATGTAGAATTGTGGTTGCCTCACCTGAATGGTTACCGTTTGAGCAGTTAGCTCACAGTGTTCTTGCCAGGCTGGTTTTTCTAGTTTGATCTTCATGTAGTACAGTGAATTCCATATAGAGCAAGAGTCTCTTCCACGGTGGGAGTTTTCCCTACCCTGTCAGGGCTCATGGATTTGTGCTGCTCATGACAGCCAACTGGGAAAGATGGTGAACCTCACAGCATGGCCCAGAGAAGAGTCCCCCAGTGTGCCTGGATCAAGACAGGTCACTAAAGTGGTAGTATTGTGTAATTCCAAGGCTAGGAGAGTGTTTCCAGTAAGTGCCTTTTTATTTTTATTTATGTATTTATTTTGAGACAGAGTCTTGCTCTGTCACCCAGGCTGGAGTGCAGTGGTATGATCATGGCTCACTGCAGCCTCAACCTGGCAGGCTCACACAGTCCTCTTGCCTCGGCCTCCTGAGTAGCTGGGAGTACAGGTGCGTGCCACCAAGCCCGTTTTTGATTTTTAGTAGAGATGAAGTCTTGCTATGTTGTCCAGGCTGGTCTCAAACTCCTAGTCTCAAGCACTTGGCTTCTCAAAGTGCTCAGATTACAGGTGTGAGTGAGCCCCTGCTCCTGACCAGTAAGTGCCCTTTTAAAGTAAATGGGATTCATTTGAACTTTCTATAAAAGATCCGTAGTGGAAGTCCTTAGGGATTCGAGATGATGAACTATTATATACAATTATAAATGAAGAAAATGTTGATTTTTTTTTATTGTTAATCACATCAGAAACTAGTTTAAAAGATACACAAAATTCACAAAGGTATGAAAAACAGATTGTGTTTACTAATTGGCCTATTTAATGGAAATTTTGTGATGAATTGTCTCTTATTTTCAAATGGAATTTTGTTTTCATGGAATTTAATTAGTCTGATTATAATTTACAAGTTCTTTTATTTTAAAAGTACAAGAGTAGCTTTTCAAAGTTTGAGAAACAGAAAAAGTAATTGACTAAAGAAATTTACAACTAACGTGCCCAGTCCACTGTTTTTCTCATAGCAGTGCATGTATCACAAGCATACGTATCCTCCATGAATCTGTGTGTGCTTTCGCAAGTTGACATTATTACTTCCTGAGTGAAGCTATAGAAACCATTTCTATCTAGTAATGCCGAATTCTTGATCTTGATTCCTTCTGTTTGACTCCCACTAGTTTTAGCATAAACAGGTAAATGTGCTTTTTTTAAAGTATATTTCAAAAAACAACTCCATAAAATTATATATCTGTCCATCGTTGTTTTATTTCTATGTTACTGTTGGAAGCTGTTTAATTTTGTTTAGGTTGAAATGGTTTTACCTGTTAAAAACCTACCCCTACCCTTACTCCAACAGCATTGCATGCTAGGAAAAACACTAGAGTAATAAGAAATGTGGATTCTTGCTCCAGGCTCTGCCACTAACTAGTTTGTGACTTTGGATAAGTAATTTAGTTATCTGTGCATATAAATAGAATATTGTATTAGTAGTCAGTGCTACATGGTGAGCACTTAACTACACCAGCAGAAGGCCTCATCACAGCCCTGAAAATTATCCCCATTTTACAGATGAGGACACGAAGTCTCACAGAGGTAGAAATTTATCTGCTGCGGCACAGCTGCTCAACAAGTGGTCAGGGCCAGGGCTGCAAGTGAATTGTATTTAACTATCTTTCTGTCTGTTCCTTAGGTAGATTGACTGCTTTGTTGAAAATACTGATGGCTCACACACATAAAGGTCAGACGTGATGGAGCCCTTTCCTCGGTTTAGAATTTGGTCCTTGTTACAGCACTGTGAAGACAGTGACGTAATTATCCTATGGTATTAGTGAAACTGATTTTCTTTAAGTGTGTCCCTGTCATCGCTTGTCACTTGCCTTTTGGATATTAAAACAATGCTCCAAGAACTGCTTTTTAATCTGTATATTCCATCATTCAAATTCAAATGTCTTAAGCCTTTTACATACCAAAATAGGTATATTTGAATACAGGAGAAGTCAAAGTAAGGCAATCTGACCAGAATTCTGATTTTTCTGGGTAGTAAAGTTTCCCTTAAAATGCTGGAGGCCAGGATAGGATTGCCAGTTCTTTATTTTACCAAGTTAGAACGTTAAAAAAAAAAAAAAAAAAGACTTAAAATGACTTTTAAAAATTAGGAAAGATAAGATATCACAGTTTAAAAGTTTTTTATTTATTTTTTATTATTATTATTTTTGAGATGGAGTCTCACGCTGTCACCCAGGCTGGAGTGCAGTGGTGCGATCTCTGCTCACTGCAAACCTCCGCCTGCCAGGTTCAAGCAGTTCTCCTGCCTCAGCCTCCCAGGTAACTGGGGTTACAGGCGCTCACCACCACGCCTGGCTAATTTTCGTATTTTTAGTAGAGACAGGGTTTCACCATGTTGGCCTGGCTGGTCTCAAACTCCTGACCTCGTGATCCACCCTCCTCAGCCTCCCAAAGAGCTGGAATTACAGGTGTGAGCCCCCGCCCCCAGCCAAAACTTCTTTAAATTGATCTTCATTTTTTTCATTGTGCGGCAGTGCTCTAAACTTCACAGCCCGGCCCCCTTAAAGGATGGCAGCCCTTCGGTGAAGCCCTTTAACTCTGCTGCGGGCCGCAGTCCTGTGTGCTCTCTGCCTGACTGCGCGCTAGCCTGTGTTGACATGAGGGTGCACTCAGGATGCCCACTTTTGGGGCCTTGGCCTGAGACTGCTTGCGCTGGGGAAGTAGGGTAGTGCCAGCGACTCTGTGTCTTTGGACCTGTGGTTGAGCTGGCAACAGAATGGAGAGGTCCGAGAAACAGGTGAGTGTGAGTCTCCTGCAGAAATGCTCTCTGGGGGTCTGCCCTTGAATGTTAGGTGGCATGACAGTCAAGTGCAGTCCACCAGGGTCTTCACCTGGAAATTGACTACTTGTACTTTATTCTGGAAACTTAGGGCAGAGATTTTTGTTAGAAAACCCAGAATAAACATCTCATACTGGATTTAAATGCTTAACTGTATTTTATTTTGCTCTTCTGTATTTGGACAGTCTTCTAAGCCATGACCAATCTGCCCATGTTTCACTTAAGAGAGAATTGAGGAAAATTGTCCAGAATTCCCAGTCCAAAAGCCCAAGCTCTGCAGCCCTGCAGTGTGGTTTCGCTCCATCTGGAGAGAACCTCACACAGACTCCCCTGCCAAAATGATGTAACATGATGACTCAGGGATGTGAGCATGAGAGGAACCAACATTTAGTTCTTATACCCACATATGCTGTGTGTTGTGTGATCAGGTTTATTTAATGAACTTAATGCAAGCTGGGAGGCTTGACAAAACGTCCCCTTTTGTGGAGTAAAGTAGCCATGTTTCAGAGAAAGCATGCAGATTTAGTTGGTGTTAGGTTGTTTATGTTGAATAAAAATCTATTTAAAGACCTGGCTGAAGTGCATTCAGCCTTTCTCTCACTGTCTGCACTTACACTAAAGAAGAAAGATTTTATTATGCCTGACAGAGATCCAGATTCTTCGAGATTGCCTCTTTCCCTCTGCTCTGTGGAATGTGCCAGAAGCCATCTGTTAATGGATCTTGGAACTGGCTGTAGAAGGCAGAGTAGGTTCCTTTGAGAACTGATAGGTCCAAATTATTCTCTATCCTTGGGTGCCAGATACATTGTTCCAAATAAGCGTTAGTTTGTAAAGAAAACAGCTTTGTACAGTAGTCATTCTTCAAAGAGTTTTAAGAAGCATTTTCTATTTATGTAAGACACCGTCCTGCTCGACCTTCCCCTGGGCACAAAGCTCACACCTGGTTTACCCTTTTCAGAGAGAAGGGGAGTCACGGAGCTAGCCATAATAACAAGTGTTAGAAAAGAGTGCCTCCTGCTTCAGCTGAGGAAGACATTTATCGTCCTCCTTTTGTCCTTTAATTCACATCTTTGACATTTGGAAAGTATTTGGAAAGCCAAAACTACAGACCAAAAATTGTGCCTTTAATTGAGTGTGATTGTTTTAAAAAAAAAAAAAAAAAAAAACTTTTAAAACTGGGAAGCACAACACAAGCTGAGCAGAGCACTGGATTCCATAGAAAATGTTTTCCCTCCAACTCTGACAAACTCCACCCCTTGGTTTCTCATGCCTGGTTAACCAAACAACCTGCGATTCCAACTCCATGTCAGCACTTGGGCGAAGGAATGGGCCCCTATAAATGAGGAGCTTTGTGTTTTTCACATGCCTCCTCTCCCCTCTTCAAGCCGTGTGTGGTAGGATCTCGACACTTTTGTCCAGTGGCAATCACACCTGCAATCAAATTTTCACTTTCAATTTTTTACTTAAAAAGAAAAAACAGCAGCCTGGGCTACATGGCGAAACCCCATCTCCACAGAAAAATACAAAAATTAGCCTGGTGTGGTGGTGCACACCTGTGGTCCCAGCTTCTTGGGAGGCTGAGGCGGGAGGATCGCTTGAGCCAGGGAGATGTGCCACTGTACTGGAGATGAGCCAGCAGTGATTGTGCCACCGTACTCCAGCCTGGGTGACAGAGTGAGACCTTGTCTCAAAAAAGAAAAAACGCTCCCCCTTCTCCTTGGCCACCACTGTCTTCCCAAGCCATGGTGTTTGTGGAAAGAGATTTCAGAGGCAGGCATAGAGTCCTGCGTGTAAGTTCCAGCTCCACGGCAGGCTGCCGGCTGTCCTCAGGCAATAACTCACCTCAGTGTCTTAACTCATAAGAAGAAAAACAAAGCGGGATTTACACTTTCTTCACATGTCACAGTATAGGCATAAATGAAGTTAAAATATCTTACGTGTCTGGCATAGAAAAGGCAATTTCTATTAGGAGAAGTATAATTAGGAGAAGTATAATTCTCTTCTAATTTATCCTGTAGATCCGAAAACTCTGAAACACTCCATAAAAAAATCCTTACCCTTTCATGATTTACACTGATATATACAGATGATACAAATTTCAAAATGTAATCACATGTCCTGGATAAAACATCATCTGTTTGACAGTCCCTGCGTTTTCATGGATCCATTCTCAGTAGTAGTGCAGTTCAAGTTTTTTGCCTATGAAGAAAATGTTAACAATCCACTGTTTGATCATGAGTTTTTTCTTCTCTTCCCTTTAAATGTTCTCCTCCTCTTTTGACCAGGAACTCAAAATAACGTGGTAGCATTTCAGATGGGAGTTTGTCCGAAGCCAAGGAGTGGAGAAGGCCACCCGGTGCAGGGATGGAGTCTGTCCCAGCCAGCCAGCCACCCTGTCTTACTGTTAATTTTATAGACTTGCCTAGCAATGCGAAGTTCTTTTTCAGCCTTAAGGATGTGTTCTTAGCTCCCTTCCAAGCCTCTACCTCTTGTTCATCAGGTGGGGCTGCACAGTGCACAGGGAGGAGCACGGCCCGGAGCCAGGCAGCCCAGGTTCAAATCTGTGCCCTCACGCTCACCAGCTTGGTTACCTTAGGCAGTCTACCAGCTTCCCTGACTTCTGTTTTTTAATCTATAAAATGTAGACAGTAATATCTACCTCATAATATTGTTAATGAATATACATTGCAGTAAGTTAATGAAGGCCCTTAGAATATTATCTGAAATATAGCAAACACCACAAAAGTTCTTAATCTTTTGATTTGTGAAGAGAACATATACCTTTCTGTGGAATTCTCATACGTATATACTTCCGTGAGAGGAACTGTCCACTCGCTCTGCTGGGCTCCAGCCATGCCTCTCCTTGGAGGCCCAGGACCTCCACCTGCCCCTCTGACCTCCCCTCCCTGATGCAGTCCGTGGGTCATTGTTCCAGGCAAGTGCAAGGCTGTCTCCTTGTGCTGCTGTGTACAGGGTGGGCTTTATTTGCTGGGTGGGAGTATGCCAACCCCGGAGTGCAAGCGAGGACAGAGCTGCTTACACCTGGATGCACATTTGACATCCTCAGGCCTGGATAAGCATTTTTTTTTTAAGACACAGGGTAACATTAGGATTTTAATAGTACCTGCTTCTGAGTTGATCAAAATATTTTACAGTTATGGTACTTAGTTTCTATTTAAATCCTTACCACACAGCTTACATGGGAAAAGCCAAATAATATTAAACAGTAGAATGTCACAAGACAGGTCTACTAGCAGTGAGTTTGCATTACCTTTTCCTTTTTTTTTTTTTTTTTTTTTTTTTTTTTTTGAGTTGGAGTCTCGCTCTGTCGCCCAGGCTGGAGTGCAGTAGTGCAATCTCGGCTCACTGCAAGCTCCACCTCCTGGGTTCATGCCATTCTCCTGCCTCAGCCCCCAGAGTAGCTGGGCCTGCAGGCGCCCACCACCACACCGGGCTGATTTTTTGTATTTTTAGTAGAGACGGGGTTTCACCGTGTGAGCCAGGATGGTGTCGATCTCCTGACCTTGTGATCTGCCCACCTTGACCTCCCAAAGTGCTGGGATTACAGGCGTGAGCTGCTGCTCCTGGCCACATTCCCCTTTCCTTATATGGGACGAGAATTCATTTTGAGTTCTTCCCTGGTAGGTGGTAGAGTTTGGGCAGAAGACTGGCCTCGTGCCCACATAACTTGTTTTTAATGCTAGATTTGCCTGTCTCTGTAACCTTAACATGTTCCTTAATTTATTTTCTCACAACTCACTGAAAATGCTTACAATCCAATCCCTTAGTAGAGTATTATATCCAACTTTAGATAACATTGTGTAAGATCCTTCGAAGAAAAGCCACTGTACAAAACTTAAGGTCATTATTATAAATTGGCAGTGACATCACAACCACTGTTTGTATTGAGACTTACCTTCAAGTATATGGAAATCCTTCAACTTCTTCAAAGTATTAAGTAAAATCTATGGTCTGGTCCAAACTCCAGATCTTTGGTGGAACGAGGAGAAGTGACCTGGGCATGGAAGAAGAGGGCACAGTCCACTCAGCCATAGTCCTAGATTTGGACCACAGTGGTGTTTAGGCTTTTTACCTGAAAGGAGTGTAAAGAAAGAAGTTTCTGTGTGTTTTTGCCATTTTCACTTTTGTAACTTCTTATGGCCCAGCAAAAAGAAACAGTAATGTGCAAATGTTTTGCTTGAAGGGGAACATAGAAATCCCACAGGCACTAAGTCCAGGGATTCCTCCTGCTGTTGCTACGACGTGTATGTGAAAGGCAGCCAGCAAGAAGGCAGAGTGCAGAGTCAGACGTTGTCTTCACAGCTTGGCTGTGGGAACTATGAGCCACTTGAGAACATCTTACGCGTTTCTGTTTTTTTCACCCATCTGACTTCTACTATAATAACCTTTCACTGTGGGCAGTGGTGTAAATCTGAGTCTTGGTGCTGCTGCTTCTCTGGCCTGTGGTAGGATTATAGGCAAATTACCCTGTCCTGTCTCTGCTCATCATGTCTGTATGAAAAGGGGGTAATAGTCTCCCCATCACTGGGCTGCCGTGAGGCTTGGATATGGAGTATTTGGCTGATGTCCAGTGTCTAGTACTAAAGGAAATTAAGGTCAAGAATAAGACACCGGCACAGTTGCTCATGCCTATAAACCCAGCACTTTGAGAGGCTGAGGTGGGAGGATCACTTGAGCCCAGGAGTTTGAGACCAGCCTGGGCAACATAGTGAGATGCTGTCTCTACAGAAACCAAAATCAGTTAGTGGCAGTGGTGCACTTCTGTAGACCCAGGGACTCGGGAGGCTGAGGTGGGAGGATCGCTTGAGCGCAGGAGTTGGAGGCTGCAGTCAGCTCTGATCCTGCCACTGCATTCCAGCCTGGGTGACAAAGCCTTCCTTTTTTTTTTTTTTTTTTTGGACTCAAGGGGGAAGAAAAGAAAGACTGACTTAAATAGAGCAGTCTAAGACCTTTGATAATAGTGTAACTCTGTAGCCTGCGTGCTTTTCGATAGCATTGTTAAAATACTTTTAGAAAGACTTCCATAAAATTGGTAAGTCTAAAGAAAAGCAAGCAGCCAGGCGCGGTGGCCCAAGCCTGTAATCCCAGCACTTTGGGAGGCCGAGACGGGCGGATCACGAGGTCAGGAGATCGAGACCAGCCTGGCTAACACGATGAAACCCCGTCTCTACTAAAAAAATACAAAAAAGTAGCCGGGTGAGGTGGCGGGCGCCTGTAGTCCCAGCTACTTGGGAGGCGGAGGCAGGAGAATGGCGTGAACCCGGGAGGCGGAGCTTGCAGTGAGCTGAGATCCGGCCACTGCACTCCAGCCTGGGCGACAGAGCAAGACTCCGTCTCAAAAAAAAAAAAAGAAAAGAAAAAGAAAAGCAAGCTCCTCTCACCGGAATAATTCACCTAGTAGACCAGTTCTCTGTCTAAGGAACTGGATGGAGAAACTGTGACCGTAATCCTCTGGGATCAGTGTGTGTAGGGAGAGGCTGTGAGCAAGGATGGCTGTCCCATCCTGTGAGGAACTGTAGGAGGAAAGAGAGGCTGTGTCACTGCGCGCACTCATATTTCTCCTGTGTGCTGGGCACCCCTGCGTTCACTGCTTCCATTCCACACCTGCTGCTCAGATGCCTTTTTTTTTTTAACTAATCAGTCCTGAATTTCCCTGTTTTTTCCAAAAATAAGTCACATTTCTTCTTACATAGACAGCATTTGATGGAGAAGAAGGAACAATTTCCAGCCGTCAGATTTATTGAGTTGCCGTTGTGTGCCGGGCAGTGTCCTAGACTTTAGGGGGCTGAAGATGACTGCATCCTCAGAGGGTAGGCACATAGCCTGTGGGGGAGGCCAGCAAAGAAGGAACGATGTGATATGGGCTAGAAGAGAGTTCAGGGCCAAGAACTGGAACATAGATAAAGACAAGGGTAAAGGCGGGTGCAATCACAAGAGTTCAGATGGGAAATCTAGGGCTTCAGAGGGTTCTGGGCAGACAAGGAGGTTCTCAAAGAAGAGAGAACAGCAAAGAAAGACGCTCTGCCAAGTGCATGGTGTGTTACGTTAGGTCAGTATGACTGAGGTTTTTGAAGGCAGGGACTATCCCCATCAACTGAGCGGTGAGGGCGCGGTGCTTCCTCCCTTCGTCAAGATACCTGTGGGAAGCCGGTTTTCTACAGGGTTGGAGACAGTAGTGAAATCGCCACCCTCTTTGTCCCTTGGTTGTTTGTAAACATTTCCTCTTCTGTGACAAGAACTCTGTTGATTTTTCCTAAATAATCTGCCAGATATTTGAGGTTATTGATGACTTTTTTCCTTTTATTGAGGATTGTTATCACTTCTATGACATCCCAATATTTAAAATAGACAATATTAAGGGATATTTTTGACTTTTAATGTAAGAAAGTTTTTAGAAATGTTTAGTTGTGTACTTTGATACAGGTGTATGTTTCTAAGCCAAAAATTGGATTAAGTTGCCAGTCATTGCAGGCTACGTAATGGCTGTTAGATACAGTATAGGTATAGAGTATTTCATGTAAGAGCGAGGACTGTTTTAAGGAACTGATTTTACTCACGGAACCGTAGATCTGGCCCCTGGATGTTTTCCTGTTGTGTTGTTAATTGTCATTCATCTACTCACTGTAAGATAGTCTTCATTTTGGCTAAACAGATTCTTTTTTTCTTTTGTTTTTTCCTTTCCAACTTTTATTTTAGGTTCAGGGGGTACATGTGCAGGTTTGTTACATGGGTGAATTGCGTGTCGTGGGAGTTTGGTGTACAGATGATTTTGTCACCCAGGCAGTGAGCATAGGACCCGACAGGTAGTTTTTCAGTCCTCTCCCTCCTTCTACCCTTCACCCTCAGGTAGGCCCCGGTGTCTGTTCCCTTCTTTTTGTGTGTGAGTACTCAGTACTAAAACAGGTTCTTAGCCCTGTTTACTATCAGGTAATCTTTGCTTTGTTTTCCTATTAGAACTAATAATGTGTTTATAATCACATAGTGATAATGTTACCACTTATTTCCTGATTTTGAATATTAATGTCCTAGCCTTTTATTTTTATTCATTAAATTTTGTGGTTACAAAATAGTCCTAGTGTGGGACTGCTGGAGTTGGATAAGTTGCTCAAGTTGGTTAGAAAAGGCGGTCTGACATATTCAGACTCCATTGTTAGCAGAGAAAACAGTGTAGTCAAAACAAAGGTTATCTGCTCTAGCCGTTTCAGGGACTCTTACTCAATTTGAAGCAGAGCTCCAAAGAAGTATCATCTGCCAGTTCATTTCAATAAAGTACCAGCCACTGCCACAAGGTTTACAAAAGTTACAGCTGCTTTAATTACATTTTAAAAACAAACTTACTTGAAGTAATTGGAAACAAAAGTAAAATAGACTAGTAGTCATCACAGATTATGCATTTGATGAGTAAATTCCATCACAGAGTAGCATGACAGCAGTGAAATCCTAACTCTCTGTTAATAAGAAGACATAAAGAAGACCGTGTTTTGTCATTAAACTGTGCTGCTTTAAACCAGATAGCAAATATCTGCACTATTTTGTGTGTCTTGTATAGTAACACTTGAAATTGCAGTTTCCTTGCAGCTGAGTGTTAAGCCACTCCCTTCAAGGTTCTCCATCATGCAGAACCTGCCTCCTGGGTTAAGGCAGTGTCTGAACTTCCTTTGACTTTGGAAAGCAAATCATTTCCAGAACTGAAAGTGAAATTGAATTAACTAGCTTTCCTTCAGGGACATCTGAAATTATGTGTTATGTGAAAGGTTAAAAATTGACATGGAGTAGTGCTCTCTGGCTTTGTTTTCTTGTAACATTTTGTATTCATGCAACTTCTCTCCTGGGGCAGGAGGGCTGCCTCCCTGGCCACACACCACCCCAGGGCTGTAAACATGCCTTTTGTGTGGCATTGGTGTCCACAGTGTTACTAATTACAAAAATCCATCACATGTCTTCCACTTCCCCTCAAGAGCCCCATCTGACTGCAGCACCTCATCAGTGCCCAGAGATGGGCAGTCAGAGCATGGCCAGGGCCTTGTCCTCTGCGGCCACCATACCACTCACAAAGGTGGGCACCTGCTGGCCCGGGGAACTGGGATCATCTACACCCCGGGTCCTAAGGAAGCTGTCAGGAAGCTGTTCCTGTAGGGGAGGTGTCTCTAGTTCTAAATTCAGCCAGCATCCCTTTTGTTTGCCTTAGTTGTGAAAATTGTGTAATAAAAATATATCTGAAGCTTTACAGGCTAAACTGAAAAGGAAAGATGCATGATGATTGGCTTAGCAATATTGAAACGAATAAAAATTAAAGTTGGGTATGTTAATTTGTATAAAAGTAAATTTTTAAATCTCACTGTTGATAATAAAATGTTATGCTTATATTTACCTAAAATTTTCATGAGTACTGAAATTTTTAGTACAGTAATTTCTAAATTCAGACTAAGACTGTTTGACTAAGGTTGATTAAGTTTGATTAAGTTTCCAGTGTTCCATGTAAGAATTTGCCCTGAGAAACCCTTTTAAAGCCACTTATTTGTCGATATAGTTATTAAATGTAATTTTAAACTGGTTTCTGTGCTGAACTGTGATAGTAATAAGTTGTGTTATGAACAGCAAATACTAGACCAATTTTTCAGGATAAGACATAACATGGACTGACCTTCCCAGTGTGGACTGAAGCGTGAGAGATGGGAGGTTACAGATACCGGTGCAGATGTTCCTTTCCTTGGAATTAAGTGATGTCAGGTTTCGTGGGGTTTTCTTTTTTTCTGATAATGATATCAAAATACACGAGTAGGATTATTTTATATGACAAATTGCATCTTTGTTGTTCTTGCTTCACATTTATTTGTTTTATTTACAGGTGTTGACTTCAAAATCAAAACTGTAGAGCTAAGAGGAAAGAAAATTAGATTACAGATCTGGTAAGTGGGAGAGTCTGCACCCAGTAATGTGTTTTGTGTGTTTAACAGTCCATGCACTTGTCTAATAAAATGAACTGTTTGAGCTGATTTGCCTCTCCTACTTTTCTCCTCTTTTGCTCATTTTAAAATTAAATGGACAGTGTTTCCATCAAGAGAGAATTTAGATAAGGCTGTTACGTTATATGCCACTTGCACATGGGGAGCAGTTGTGGACAGAAGAATGTTACCTTAATGGTAACCAGTTTGGAACCTTTTTGCCTCTATTTTCAAATCATTTATGTGATATCAAAAGTGTCACTACTAAAATGATTGCTCAGATGCTTGTCTTCATGTCTTCATTTTGTATGATAGTAGTCAAAGAAAGCCCAATATGTTCATAAGCAGATTTGCACAATCTGAAGGCAGGTCCCTGCAGACCGTTCCAGAACTGCTTGGCACAGTGTGACTATTACTACGAGTGGGCATACTCCTTCCGGCTGTGCTGCTGAGTCCACGGGACGTGAGCCCCCACTAATGCCTACCAGAAACGAATCCAGACCCCCTTCTCAAATCACAGTTGGAATGAGAGGCTCAGCCAGCTGTGTCACAACCGCACTCAGCACTAAGAGCTTTCTGTTCGCTATTAACCTGTTAACAGCCCGCAGGTGCTAGCGACCTCTCTGTGGAAGAAGGGATAAGATCTGGTCTGGTGGTCTGGCGGTGGCTTAAAAGTGGCCCCATTGAGGTGCTCTGAGAATGCCGTTTTGTTTTGAATGCCACAGCTGCGGTGTACTCAGCTTACTAACTCCTCTTGGCAGGTCACCCTCAGCTCTGATTGTTTGTCCACCATGTGTGTGTTTGCTTTCATCTGCGTTAATTGCTGCTTCATCTGTGGCATCATCGGTCACCTAATGCTTGAATGTTAGTGCCATGTCTTCATTCTTCATCCGTGTCCCTGTCTGGGCCGCAGCTGCAGCCGAGCCGCAGTGCCTGCCTACTGGAGGTGTCTGAGGTAATATCTTCATTTGGTCACCCTTCACTGTATGACACACTTCAAAGATTTTTTGATTTGGGTTTTTTGTTTGTTTTCTTTTGTGTTGTGCATTTGGTCTGCATATTTTTGTTTTTGGCTTGATTATGAAACATTAAGCCTTGTCTAAATACTTAAATAAATAGCAAATAGATATTTCTTCCTGTGCTAGTCCTGCAGACTTTTTGTACATTGCAGCCCAGCTTTTAAACGCTGCTGTTTCTAATGATAAGCTCTGTAAGGTAAAAACCATCTTCAAAAGGATTTGGGATATGCCTCTCTCTGTTCCTAGTACCTGTGTGAGGTACTTTTTGATGAGAATATTGCCCCACAAAAGTGATGTAAACATTATTAGAATATATGACACCTGCCTTAATGGGTGACAGCCATGCCTGATGACTGTGGCGCATATCTTCATTAATGCACTAATACTTCCATCTTCATCTTTGGTGGCAGTATTCTGGTTTATAAAGTATGTCCAAATGTCCTGGTGCCTCCCTAGAGCTCTGCCCACTAAGTCTGTGCTGGTGACATTGATCACTCCTGGAATCTGACTACAGTGCCCTGGACTCTGAGCTAAGAGGGCCCTGCCTGATGGAATTCCCGCCCCCCTCCCATGTAGAAAATGAATCCCACGCATGTGAAAAGTGAGATACTGTGGTCCTGCGAAGAGCAGTGGGCACTCAGAAACCATTTTTCTCTTGTATGTAACAGCATTCTCCAAATGACCCCCTCCCTCTCCTGATTCTCCCTGGACTCTTGACTACTTTTTCATTCTGTAAATCTGCAGCTGTACAGCACTGGCAGCGAGCGTAACTAAGGGAGGAAGAATGACATGCACTGGACTTATGGAATGGTCGATTGCAAGTTTTCTACATGGAATATTCCAGTGACTCTTTTCCTGCAAGGTTGTCTTTTCCTGCAGGGTTGTCTTTTCCTGCAGGGAGGTTTTGAACAGTGACTCATATATCTACTACAGGCCAGCCGTTTTGTTGGTCACATAATACTCAAAATAAGATTTTTATCTTCTGAAATATTTTATGTAAAAGATGAAAACCTTTTTCTTCATTATTGCTATGCAGGAGGTAAAAAGGAAGTGTTCGAATCATGATTCTAATTTGTTTTACTGTTTTAAAGTAATGGGCGGCTTCTTTTGGAGTGAGGCGCAGCGCTTGTGCTGCTGCTGGCGTAATCTGCTTTGTTGTGGGCATGTTGTCGTTTCACTCTCATCCATTGAGGGCGTAGAAGGCGCCTGTGTAGCTGGAAACGGTCCCTCAAGGAGGTGCAGTGGATTGTGCTATGCTAATAATAGATAGCTCTGCTCCGATTTTCTATACTGGCATGAAAGCATTGGCATTCGGTTTTCATAGGAGGATCTTGTTGAAAGAAGTGCGTTATTCACTGTAGATTCCTAAAAGCTAAAAGTACCAAAAGCTGCAAGTGTCTGTTACATTTTTACGTCACGTTTTATGTCATTGCCACATATGTCAGTTAGTTGATTATCTGTGGTCAGAAAAAGGACCATTTTTCTCTTCTCTGTACTTTAAAGTATTTCTAATGAATGTTAGAACTCTATGTAAGTAGCTAAAATAAAACGTGTTGACTAGAATGTAGTTTGATGAATTTATATCCAAATGGTGTCCTGGAAATTATTTACACTGAACGTGGAGTTGTGTTGAGATGGACTTGAAGCCATGAAATTTGCCTCTTACCTTTAGGCAAACACAGAATTGAAATGCTTCGTATAAGGGCCCTTTGTTCTGCCTGTGGAACCAGTCCAGTGGTGGGGGACTTTGTTTTAACCAGCGTTCTTAGGTTGGCATCGTTCCTTTTGTTCTCCGCTTGGAAGAGGGGGAATATTTCATACCCTAAATTGGTGTATGCCCTGAAAATTAGTAATTCAATAATTTAAGTGGATGTATTAAATACAGCAAATAAGAGGCTTTGAATTCTCCAAGCATTGTTTTATTACCAAACTGGGAAAACAGAACTGCAGGATTTTTCAATTTGCACAAAAAGCAGGTAGAGAAATCAGAATAAGGTGGCATATGCTAACTGTGGTAAACGATGATTGAGCTGACATTAAAAACTTGCAAACCTCTAGAAATCCATACCTTATCATTACAGTGAAAACTCAGGTTTGTGGAGAAAAAGAGGGAAATAGTAGGATTCTGCCTTTTCATAGAAAGGTGAAAGCATGATCAGTGCATTGATATAATCTAATTTTCTGAAAAGTAGAGATTTGTGTGGGATTTTTATGGTGCTGGCACATAGTAGATATTTAAGAAATACTTGCTGAATGGAATTAGCATTTCACTTATTCTTCTTTGGCTCTACATGACAGCAGATAATTTAGTATGTAAGGGAAATAAATCAAGCAAAGGCAGTTTTGAGAGGAATCGAAAATAAAAGCTTTCTCAGCTCAAATACTTTGGGAGTATGGAATCGTCTCTCAAAGAAACATGCTTTTCTACCCCCAGCCTTCAGAGCCAGGCCCAGACAGTGGCATTTAAGGAATGGGCTTAAATGGGGAGTGCTGAACTAGTTCATGTTTCCTCATTGGGATTTTTGTAAACGAAACCAATCTGCTCATTTGCGTTGGAAGATTGCCTCGGGTTTTGAATTTTGAGGTTTCTATCCTCTTTCCTTACATTGGACTGAAAGCCAGTAGAGGCAGCTGACTTCTTCATGTTGAGGCTCTTAATGTTGCTGCGATTCCTGAGTGTGCTATTGATGCAGAAACATTTTAAGCTACATCAAAATTGGCTTTGACTAGCCCTGTTCTTCTATTGTTTTTATTAAAACTCCTATTATCTGTAATTTCTCTGGTTTTGTGCCTCCAGTTTCTGGATTCTAAAGTCATTCGATGTGTATAGAAGTGCATGTGAGTTGACTTATACCGAAAACCAGATTAAAATTGCCTAGAATAAAAGTTTATTAAAGTATGTAATTCCTAAAATGCTTATTGAAGATCTTAAATCTGATTGTTATTTAAATTTGTGATTCAGCTATATTGTGTTAACCACCGATTTCAGAGTAGAAAAAATGCTTATTTTTTTTAACTTTTTAAAGAAATGGAAAATGTTCCGTAACAGTAATCAAATAGCACAAAATATTTCTCAACATTAAAAACGTTAGATTGAATCCTGATTTAGACAAGCCATAACTTGTGAGGATGGTAAAGCACTCTCTGAAAGATTTAACTCTTTGTTGGTTTGGAACCAGTAAAGTATACCCCTAAATGCTTAGGATTAGAGAAATAATCTTACTCACTGACCCTTTAGGGAAACCAAATGGGATCAACTCTGTTCCTTCTCAGCCGCCTTGAAGGTGACTATTAGTGTAGTCTTTAAGTTGCTTTTAGAAATCCTGAAAGATTCAGTCTCCATCTATCATATTCTTCAGATTTCCCTTTTTTTTTTTTTTTTTTTTTTTTTTGCAGTTCTGAGGTCAAAAAATGAAGTTTTTTTGTCTTGCCTGACGTGGCGTCAACTTTCTAATTTTTAAACATGTTACCAGCGCATATCTACTGATTGTGTACTGCAGGACCTGGGTAGACAGGAACATACCTGCCTCTGCCCTCCTCACCTTCCAGTCAGGGCAGCAGGGGATCCTCATAATCCTCTGAGGCAAAGCAAATGGCTTCGCTTTATGTGGAAATGAATTTACCAGTGAGCTTTTCTGCTTGTTTGACGATAAGGCATCACTAGTGTAAACTAATTTGGTGGCAGGTCTCCTCTGAAGAAAGCCATAAATTATAGCAACATGGTCAAGTGGTGTTTTTAGGGACCCAGTTCCACAAATGCCTAAGGGAAGTGTTCTCCCCTTTCAGGAACTCCCTGCTGTGGGATGAGAGGCTCTGGTGGCCTTGCATGGAAGAGCCTGTTGCCCCCCAGCTTACTCCACTGTGGCGCACTTGGTTGGGGTTCTTTAGGTAAAGCTAAATCATAGATGGTCTTTAAAGAAATCGCTTTGTGAGTGTCAGTTCTTCTTATTGGAAGCCTTCTCCATTGAGCCTTATTGGAATTAGAAATTTGCAGTGGTTCTCAGTTTCTAGGCTTATCACAATACAAGATATAAACCAAAAAGTATCTGAGACAGGTCTCAATCAATTGGAGAGTTTATTTTGCCAAGGCTAAGGACACACCTATCACACAGCGTCAGGTGGTCCTGACAACCTGTGCCCAAAGTGGTCAAGAGTACAGCTTGCTTTTATACATTTTAGGGAGACATAATACATCAATCAGTACATGTAAGATTTACAGTGGTTCGATCTGGACAGGTGAGACAGCTCAAAGGGGCTGGGGCTTCCAGGTCATAGGTAGATTTAAACATATTCTGATTGGCAGTTGGTGTAAAGAGTTATTATCTATAGAAAGGAATGTCTGGGTTACTCTAAAGAGTTGTGGAGACCTACGTTTTATCATGTAGATGAAGCCTCCAAGTAGCTGGCTTCAGAGAGAAGAGACTAAATGTTTCTTACCAGACTAAATGTTTCTTACCAGTGGCGCGATCACAGCTAACTGCAACCTTCGCCTCCCGGGCTCAAGCACTTCTCCTGCCTCAGCCTCCTGAGTAGCTGGGATTACAGGCTCCTACCAACACGCCTAGCTGAGAAAATTGGGAAAAAGCAGCCCACTGCCCAGTTCTCAGCACATCTTCACTGTTCCTTGGGCTCCCTTCGTGTCTGTTTCCCTCTGAGTGCGGTAGATTGGGGACTCAGAACCTTCTAGAACAGAAGTTATGGTTTTGTAAGGGGAAGAAATATGGTCAAGTATACATCTATAATTTAGAGTATTAAATTTCCTTGTACCCTTATGATTTATTCTAGAAGGCCAGCACATTGATTACAAAGCTAATTTTGGCTTACATTAGTCCTTCAGGTATGAGGTAAGAAATAAAAAATTACTTTATGCTTTATTTCTGCACAAAATTTCACACTGGAAAGATATTTCATTTGAAAAAAAAATTAAAAGTTTTACTGTGTACAGGATTTTCAGATCTTTTTTGCTGTGAAAATTCTTGTTTTCTAATTTTTGAAATCTTGATTTGAAAGTAATTGGAGACTGGGCTGGTAGCTTACACCTATTATTCCAGCAATTTGGGAGGCCAAGGCAGGTGGATCACATGAGGTCAGGAATTTGAGACCAGCCTGGCCAACTTGGTGAAACTCCGTCTCTACTAAAAATACAGTGTTAGCAAGGCATGGTGGCGGGCGCCCTTAATCCCAGCTACTTGGGAGACTGAGGCAGGAGAATCACTTGAACTAGGGAGGTGGAGGTTGCAGTGAGCCAAGATCATATAATTGATTGCGCTCCAGCCTAGGTGACAGAGCTAGACTCCGTCTCAAAAAAAAAAGTAATTGGGACTTACTGATGTTTTTGTTTGAGTGTAACTAGTTCAGAAAAGCTACTCTCACTGACAGTAGTGGCTGTGCACAGATGTCAGTGCAGACGCGAGGAGCTCCCAGTGGCCGGACCCAGACAGGCATTCTCAAGAGCTGGCCCTGCTTGTCTCCACAGACTCAGTGCTGCTAGCCTGACTGTGCCTCCTGGGGTTGTAACTGGATCTTTTCTCATCCGAAGTGGTCATCGTAAGCTACCACATGTGCCCCACGCCTGCCCCCAGCACTCTAGGTGGTGGCTAGTGAGCGAGAAGTGAATTCTTTGTGGCTTGGAGGGCATTCATTTTCATAGTCCTAGGATCCCCACCACTTATTGTGTGTGTGCGCGTGGCGTCGGTCATGCACGTGTGTAAAGTGTGTGTTCCTTGTGTGGCATTGTTGCTCTTGGGTATGACAAATGGTTTTGTAAATCACCTGCAGTGTGAATTCTTAGGGATTGATTGTTTGGAAATTCTGTATTTTAAAAACTTTTCCCCCGTTTTATTTTAGAAAAACATCATATATTTTGATGTTATATTAGCATTCCTATTGCTGATTTTCTGTCTTAAGGGAAAAAGTTATTCAGGAGAGTATGTTGATCTAGGTTCATAATTCATCTCCATTCATCTAATTTAGTTGTTAAATACAAAGGCATTTTGTGTGTCATAGTTTTAGTCAACCTGAATTTTTCCTACTTTCTTTAATTGTAGTCATCAGGCCAAAGAGAAATAGGGGTTACTCTTGTTCTTTTGTTGCAGAAAAACTGAAGCATAATCTGTGTTTGCTTTGCAATGTGGTGGTGCTCACTTTGGGCATTGTTTGGGAACTAACTTTGGCTGCTTTTTCTTAGGGACACAGCAGGTCAGGAGAGATTCAACAGCATTACCTCAGCTTATTACAGAAGTGCCAAGGGGATCATATTAGTGTATGATATCACTAAGAAGGAGACATTTGATGATTTGCCAAAATGGATGAAGATGATTGATAAGGTAAATGTTACATTTTTCTGTCCAATGTGAACTCTCTGCTTGTGAGTCTTCATCATTATTAAAAGAAGTGGGGGAAACACATTTATTGAGCATGTTTTTATACAGACTAAACATCATTTAGCCCATTATAGCCTTCAGGATAGGGATGTAGTCTTGTATTGTGGATGAGGCAAAGAAGAATTAAATTTATCCAGAATCAGGATTTTTATTCTGGTAGCATGGACTGTCTGGACTACAGAGGCCAAACATGCTCATTCCACTACATCCAGCGCTTTCATAGTTACATACATTTCATTTCTGCGGAAGGGTCACGTGGACACTCATCTCATGCACATCCACTGAGTGGCAGCCTGGAAGAGATGGCCTTCTCCACGGTGCCTGTGGATGTCCCACGCACCTCCGTCACCCACTGGACATCTGTCCTTGCAATTACAGATGCCCTTTAGCTCCTCATTTTGAACAAGAGGAGCTCGCGTTCTCCTCTGGCTCATAATTGAATCATACAGATAGCCTGCGTCCCTGTGGTTAATGTAAACCGTGGGTTCTCCTCTAAGAAACGTGTTCCCAAATACACATTTAGAAGGCAGAGCAGTTGGGAGTGGGATGTGATGATATACCGTTGACCACATTTCGAGTTTTTCCCTCTTGTGCAGTAATTTCATGTTTAGTTCCTTTGCATAACAAGCATATGCAATATAAATTGGATTTTGTCTACACATTGCATTTAAACCTGTCTGCTAGATAACGTTGGAGGATGTTTGTTTGGCAGCTTTACCAAGCATGTCGTTGATGATGTATGCCTCTTTAAAATGCGTTAGGATTGGTGGCCGGGTGTGGTGACTCACACCTGTAATCCCAGCACTTTGGGAGGCTAAAGCAAGAGGATCACTTGAACCCAGGAGGTCGAGACCAGCCTGGGCAACATAGTGGGACTCCATCTCTCTTCTCTCTCTCTCTCTCTTTTTTTTTTTTTTTAATTAAAAAAAAAGTGTTATGATCAGGGTTGCAAGGTTGGATCAGACCTGAGGTGGGTTGCTTGCCCCAGCCTGCTCTGCACTGGGCATCAGTGATACTGGGCCCTCCACTGGCATGTCAGTGGATACTGATGTCCCTTCATGTGGAAGTCACAGAGTGCAGTCCTATGGAAATTAGAAGCGAACAGTCCTGATAGTCTAAAACTTTTGTAACTAATAGGATGAATACAAAACCAAAAGAAATGGGCTAAATCCTACCCCATTTGGTACTTGAGTAAGTCTGTGCCCAGGTCTTGAGGTCTGATGCTGTCTCCTTTTGTCATCAACTGCTGCTTTTCACCTTACTTGAGTGACAGCATCATTTCCTGAGTGCTTCCTGAGCGCAGGGCCCACTGCCCCAGCCCTGCGGCAAGTGCTGTCACTGTGACCCACAGCTCCCTGATAAGGGGCCGGCACTCCTCACCTGGCTGCATGACTGGGCGATGGCCACACCATTCAGGTGCCTTTTGATGCAGTCGGTTTCAAAGAACTTTCTAGAAATACACAATTAGTTGCTCAAGAGACTTTAACTTCATTTTTAAAGAGAGAAATCTTATTGTGCCTTTATGTATTTTTAAACTTAAAAGTGTAGCTTAACTTTTTTTCCTGGTTATAAAATTAATGATACCTTCATTATAGAAATTTGGAAAATGAAGAAAAGCACAAACGTAAATTAAAAATCTGTAGCTCTGGCATCCTGAAAAACCAAATTGGCTTCACTCTATTTAGCATTACGTCTTGCTTATTTTGTGAATATTCTATCACGGAGTCCTTCCTGTGTCATTCCGTGTTCTTCTGAAGCGTGTGTTTTTTTAAATGCCTGTGTTTTTTAAATAACTTGATTCCTCAGCCATTTTGTTTGACTTTTAGGTTTTATTCAGTTGATAACCATTTTGAGTATAGAGCTTTGCCTGCATTTTGAATCATTTCCTTAGGGAAGGGGTCTTGGGAATTGTTTGGTCAACAGCCCAAGAGCATTGTGGTTCTTAATGCTTGTGCCCCATTTCTTTCTAAGACGTAGTGAGCCCTGCCTCGCACCCTGCCCAGTCCTACCTGGGACCTGGTAGACCCTCAAAGACAGTGGAAGTGAATGGACAAATGTAAATTAATGAAAAATACCGTATTGGTTTACATTTCCGCTGTCAGTGTTTGGCGATGCCCATCTTTGAAATGTGGCTTCTTTTAAAATTCCACAGTATGCTTCAGAAGATGCAGAGCTTCTCTTAGTTGGAAATAAGTTGGACTGTGAAACGGACAGAGAAATCACCAGGCAGCAGGGGGAAAAGGTGAGAGGGAGCGGGAGGCACGGCTGCCACACACTGTGCTTAGCACTTGAGGTACTGTTTCTTTTAATAAATTACTTACTTTAAAAATTACGAAGAAATGATTGATACAGGGATAACTCAGTCACATCCTCCTCATTTGTTTGTGCTGTTTTGACTTCCTGCTCCTTTAAATTCATTCTGAAATGGAGGGAGAAAAAAATACATTAGTGTATACAGCATTATTACCTAACCTGACATTTTATACAGAGAAACATATTTTAAGCCATAAAGTTGCTTGTATAATTTACTTTAATGTACTTTAAACTTCCTTGGTTTTTGCTAAGGATTGAATCATGGAGAAATGATGCTATTCACATTTTAAATGTCAGATATGTTACCCTTTTAGAAACTTAGGCAAGTCATTTCACTGGAAGGTCCTGGCATCACCTTAAGGATTTTGATTGTCTTTTGTTTCGCTAGTTGCTTATAATGTAAGAATGTGCTATACTTGTGAAATTTATATTTGAGCATCAGTGGGCTTTTCTACCCCTTAATCCCAGCCCTTCCCTTGAAACTGAACCCAGAGGCCTCATGCTCGCACGCTGGTCTGTGTGACACCCGCACAGAGGAAATAGGTGTGTGTTTCTTCTCAGTTTGCACAGCAAATAACTGGGATGCGGTTCTGTGAAGCAAGTGCCAAGGATAACTTCAATGTGGACGAGATATTTCTGAAACTTGTCGATGACATTCTGAAAAAGGTAAAAAGAGTCTACATTTTGAAAGTATATCATCGGAAACCTGTTGTTTCCTTTGTTACTTTTTTATTGAGAATATTGTATTTAGAAACCAAGGAGTCTACATTATGAAAGTATATCATCGGAAACCTGTTGTTTCCTTTACTTTTTTATTGAGAATATTGTATTTAGAAACCAAAGTACAGTAGTCGTGCTCAGGTGCAAGAACCAGGTGTGGTTATTAACTCGGCCACGGGCACCCGGCCTGCTGTACTGACAGCCGCTTCCCGCCTGGGGCTTCTGGTGTCCTTGGGGTTGGTATACGGCATACTCGCTTCGCCGTAAGATAGGGCAGGGTAGACTTAAACCGGGTGTAGCAGTGTGCTGTGTTTATTTGACATTTGCTTTTTTTCCACCTGTTTTCCTGTGAGAATTCAGTTGGAGACCTAGCCAAGTCTGCAGGTGTCTTAGCGGAAGAGAGAGCCCTGTGGTGCCGTGCTGGCATCCCTTCCAGCTCTGCTCCCTGGTGGGAGCCACTTCCTTACAAAGACCTTTCCGTGATGCTGAGTTGCAAGAAAATTGCTGGACAGCTTCATTGAGCAGCAGCGATTTCTTCAGGCATCTTTAGGCTTACATTCAAAAATTGTTAATAAGAACTGAAGTTTATGTTATTAAGTGAAATTTGCTCAGTTCAAACATAATTCAGAAGCTTCTAATAAAATAATTGTTTAGGCTGGGTGTGGTGACTCACACCTATAATCCCAGCACTTTGGAAGGTGGGAGGATCACTTGAGGCCAGGAGTTCAAGACCAAACTGGGCAACATAGTGAGACCCCCATCTCTACAAAAAACTTAAAAAATAAACCGGGTGTAGTGGCATGTACCTGGTTGTAGTGGTCCCAGCTACTCAGGCTGATGCGGGAGGATTGCTTGAACCCAGGAATTTGAGGAATTTGATACAGTGAACTATGATTGTATCTGCACTCCAACCTGGGTGACAGAATGAGATGCTGTCTCTCAAAAAAAAAAAAAAAAAAAGTTTATATAATTGCCAACATAGGTTATATCTTTTTAAGTATACAACTACTCCTTGGAATGCAGACCATTTTTAAAATTAATGGATTTTTATTTTACTTGGTTCTGTGAAAATACATGTTTATGAGGTTGATCTGGTCTCTTCTACCATAGGGTACAAAGTAGGCTGGGCGTTGTTCATGTTGTAATATGAAGTGTCTTGAACATGGCTTTTTTTTTTTGGCTTAATATTTTAATGTCTAATTGATCTTTAATGATCAGAGGACTTTCAATAACAATACTTTGTTTTTTTATATAATTGTATAATTTGGAAAGCATTTACAGTTGACCCTTGAACAACAAGGGGGCTCGAGGTGCTGACCCCCTAAATAGTCAGAAATCTGAGTATAACTTGACTTTCTTAAAGTAAGCCAAGAAAATGTTATTAAGAAAATCAGAAAGAAGAGAAAATATATTTACTATTGATTAAGTGGAAGTGGACCATCATAAAGGTCTTCATGAAGCAATGTCGTCTTCACACTGAGTGGGAGTGTGGGGGGTGGCGTTGGTCTTGCTGCCATATATAGGTGGACCTGTGCAGTTGAAACCCATGTTCAAGGGTCAGCTGTATGTGTACCTTCTAAGGTTAACATGGATTTGTCTTTTTTGTTTATCCTTCAGATGCCTCTGGATATTTTAAGGAATGAGTTGTCCAATAGTATCCTCTCATTACAACCAGAGCCCGAGATACCGCCAGAACTGCCTCCACCAAGACCACACGTCCGATGCTGTTGATTTCCTACTTTGGAGACAAAGTGGAAACGATTCCTGGAAAGGGGAAAAAACGTTCTATTCTGCACTACAATCATTTTGACAATTTCCTTTCGCACTTTGTAATCCAAGTCAGAGCTATACACTAACTTGTAAATATGCATATATGCAATCCTGGGTAAGTTTTGGTTATAAGTTACCTATTTCCCTCCAAATTATTATATTTCATTCACTACCCCAGTGTCTAGTGTACATACACTGGGAAACCTAGTACTTCTAATATGAAGAATGGGAGAAATGAAAGGTATAGTGTTTCTTGAAATAATATAATTGTCCTTGTTAATTATACTATGAGGACAGAAGATACTCTGATAAGAGAGAACGTGGTGCTTTGCTTACTGTTTTAAAGAAAATTTGTAAAACTAAAGACTTTTTGGAAAAAAGCTATCTTAAGTGCTTTTTCTTTATTTACAAGACATTTCCCCCCGTGGTAGCATCTGAAGTATTGGAGTATCTCTGCCACGAAGCAAAGCTCCATTCATGGCTGTCATTGAAGGTTATTTATTAATGTTACGTAACAGTAGAATATTACTAGTTAGAGGGTTGGATTTGACTTGGTCCTAAGGCCGCAGAATCTCTCTCATGGCTTCCTAAGGGACGTACCTTTATGCTTTTAAGAACTACAAAGATTCAATAAAGAAGTGTTTTTGAAACTATAGAAAAAGATTTTAAAACACGCTGCTGTCCTAAACAAATCCTGTTTAAAGGAATTTTAAAGAGATGCATTTTACTATTATCAGAGAACATATGTGTATTTGCCTAAACACCCTGTACCTTTGTAATGATGAAACTTCCCCCTTTACGGTGAAGCTTATTCCGATTAAGCTTAGACTGTGTGTGTGTGTGTTTTTTTTTTTGGGTCTGATAATGAATTTGTGAACTCTATCTTTGGTATATCTTTTATTAAACTGCACTGTTTTGTTTAGTCGAGGTAAATAAGTAATTATGTATTTGAATAACCTGGTGTGTCTTGAGTGTTGTGGTATGAAAAGCATTGTGGTCTTTCTACACTAATGAAGTGCAAATAAAATTTTGTATTTATGAATGAAGTTGAGTTGCCATATTTATCCAATTATAAATTGTACATATGACAGTATTCTCCATGAGCTCCACAGCTTAATCCTTTTGAGTGTTCAGACAGGAAAAGCCTGGTCCTCCACTGGGGAAAAGAGTTTGATGGTTTCTCAAAGGGCTGAACATAGAGCTACCATATGATCCAGCAATTTGACTTCTAGGTTTATATCCAAAAGATCGAAAGCAGAAACTCAAACAGGAACTTGTACACCAGTGCCCACGGCAGGACTGTCCACAAGAGCCAAAAGGTGGAGACAGCCCCGATGTCCAGCAGCAAAATAATGGATAAACAAAATGTGTGTTGTACAAACAATGGGATATTCATCCTTAAAAAGGAAGGAAATCCTGTCACATGTGCTGCGTGGATGAATCTTGACATTACACCGAGTGCAATAAGCAGTCCCAGAAGAACTGATACTGCCTGATGCCACTTACATGAGGTGTATGGAGCACCCAGATTCGTAGAGACAAAGTAGAACGGTGGTTCCCAGGCAGGAGAGGCAATGAGGCATTGTTTCTGGGTGCAGAGTTTCAGCTGGGGAAGATGGACAGTGGCGATGGCAGCACAGCAGTGTGCAGGGACTTTAGTGCCACTGAACTGTAGCAAACTGTGTGGATTGTCGTGTCCTCTAGAAAAGAGTTTCAGTTCGTGTATATGCCTTTATCAGCCACAGTTGATCACGACTGCCGGTGATTTACGACCCTCACCTCCCAACCTGCCCTTCTGTGTTCTGCTCTGTGATGCTGGGGCTGGGACTCCCAACTATATTCGCCAAACCCTCTTACTCTTCCTGCTAAAATCTGCTGGTGGAGGAACAGAAGTTGGGAGGGCGGAAGAAGGGGCTTGCTTGCCATTTTTCCTTTCTCATCAGCCTCCCTGGAGCAACATCAGACCACCAGCTCTAGCCTCCAGCTTCCTGCAGGACCCCCGGCTCCAACCTCACTGTGCCCTGTCAGAGGTACCAGTGGCATCTGGGCTTGTCAGTGTCTTGCCAGCCGGGTCATCCTAGCCCTTGCTGGACTGTACCCTCAGCAGTCCCTCTGCCCACTGGGATCCCGCTCCTCCAAGTCTGCATTCCCCTCAGAAGCTTGGACCCAGCCTTGCCGGGGTCCTTCCTCCGAGCTCCTGAGTTGTGGCAGTGCCCTCCTCTTTTTGCCCCCAGGGCCCTAGGGATGGTGACTGCTTCCTTCACTTCTTCATTGGTGTAGAATTTGAACAACCGTGTAGTCCCCCGTATTAAATCCTTCTGCTTAGATACCCCGCATTGGTGTCTCTTCCTGACAGAGAGGACCTGGAACCAGGAGTGATCTCAGGAAACAGATCCTCAAACATGAGTTCAACAAAAAAGAGGTGGTGCTTGGCATGGGCATTTGTAGCTCATTCAGCAATCTGTGGTCTATTTTATGTTTACAACTCAATCTTGGTATCTGCGTTTTCAGTCTGTCAACTGTAGTATTAACAAAAGTGCTATTCTTGTTTAGTACGACAGTTTGCGGGTTAAAGTTGGACTTTGCAAGAAGGCAGTGTGGTTGGTAGCCCTTGAGTTTTTTTTTTTTTTTTTTTTTTTTTTTTTTTTGAGTTTCGCTCTTGTTGCCCAGGCTGGAGTGCAATGGCGTGATCTCGGCTCACTGCAACCTCCACCTCCCAGGTTCAAGCAATTCTCCTGCCTCAGCCTCCCAAGTAGCTGGGATTACAAGTGTGCACCACCACACCCAACTAATTTTGTATTTTTAGTAGAGAGAGGGTTTCACCATGTTGACCAGGCTGGTCTCGAACTCCTGACCTCAGGTGATCCACCCGCCTTGGCCTCCCAAAGTATTGGGATTACAGGCGTAAGCCACTGGCCCAGACTGATTACATTTTTATTCTTAGGTTTTCCAGTAAGTATACTTTTGGGTTTTTCTTCCAATGAATACGATTTATGAGAGTGGGACTAGGGCTAAATTTTCTAGACCGTTAATCCCCACATTGTCTTACGGGCTGGTTATTCAGTATCTGGGCAGTGGTTCTCATGCTCTCAGTGGCCTGTCTTACCTTTGGACAGCCCAGCAGTCCATTGTCTGATCAACTGAAACGCAGTTTGATCCCTCTAGATTTTTGTTTTGTTTTTTTGAGACAGAGTCTCACTGTCATCCAGGCTGGTGCAGTGGCGCAATCTTGGCTGACTGAAACTTCTTCCTCCCAGGGTCAAGCAATGCTCCACCTTCAGCCACTCAAGTAGCTGGGATTATAGGTGCCTCCCACCACGCCTGGTAATTTTTGTATTTTTAGTGGAGACGGGTTTCACCATGTTGGCCAGGCTGGTCTTAAACTCCTGACCTCAAATGATCTGTCTTGGCCTCCCAAAGTGCTGGGATTACAGATGTGAGCTACTGTGCCCGGCCATTCCTCTAGATATTTTAAGGGAACTGTCATGTTTTTTTTTGTTTTTTTAATTTTGGGAGAGGGTCTCAATCTGTCACCCAGGTTGAAGTGCACGTGTGCAATCATGGCTCACTGTAGTCTCGACCTTCCCAGGCTCTGGTGAGCCTCCCATCTCGGCCTCCTGAGAGCTGGGACTACAGGTGCACTCACGACACCATGCCCAGCTAACTTTTCTATTTTTTGTAAAGATGGGGGTCTCACTATGTTTCCCAGGCTGGTCTCAAGCTCAGGCTCAAGCGATCTGCCTGCCTCCGCCTCCCAAAGTGCTGGGATTACAGGTGTGAGCCACCATGCCTAGCTAGGAACTGTCTTTTTGAAGAACAGTTGTAAGTAATATTTTATACGTTTATAGCTCATTGTCCTAGGTTAGTGTCTTATTTGGTTCTCACAGAGACTCTGAAGTAAGTAGAGCCAGATATAAAAGGAATTTTCAGTCATCTATGCAGATAGAGAGAAACATAATCCAAGAAAGAACAAATAAAAACCACCCAAGACCACAAGATCTGCAGATGTTGTTATGGCCACAAAATTGTATTTCTAGTCTGTGAACTGGATGCTAAACATCCTGGAGTTGAGCGGCTTCATGAATTACAGTGGATTTCTTGTCAGCAGTGGGGAAACAACAGGTTCATTCTCTTTCTATCTCCTCGGGCTTCAAAATGGAGTCACTAGTGGGCAGCTGGTTTAATTTAACTAATTGCTTAAATTCTTTAAAATGAAATGTGAAGGGTGAATATTCGTTGATGACAACAGAACAGGAGATTTGCCTCGCATGTCACCAGCTCTCAAGCTTCCTCAAATTAGGGCTTTTTCCATGAGTGACTTACATTACCAGGAAGAGGGAAAGTCCTTGTGTATAGATGACGTGTTGCCTAGAATTTGTAACTCAGCTTACAAGCTGCATAAGAGTGATAAGAGTGGGTCAGGATGTGATAGAAGGAACCCATTATTTTTGTTGTGACACTGTAGTCACAGTTGAAATTTGCTGCGTGGTTGCTTTCTGCAAGGCCTAGATCAATACAACAACCCTTGAGTTTCAGGTGCAAGGGATGGTGGATCCATAACTGGAACACGCAGCAGGGCAGCCTCTGTGAACCACAGAAGACGCACCAAGTCCTGGGGAAGCTCAGAGAAGAGAGAGGTCAGGGTCCGACTGTCAGTGTACAATGGCCCAGCCTCCACCTGTACACTGATGACTTCCAAGACTATAGTGCAGACTACTCCTGAACTCCAAAGACACCCATCAAACGACCTACTGGCATCTCCGCCTTGGTTGTATAGACACCTCTAAATCAACTGACAGTAAAACTAATATTACCTTCTATTTAAAAACCAGCCCCCTCCAACTTGTCCTCTTATATTTCATACCTCAGTGAAAGTAACCACTGTTTACCTAGCTTCCCAAATCTGAAACTTGGGAGTGGTCTTAGACCTCTTCTTTTCTATTCCCTACATCCCATTGGTCTTCAAGCCCCATTGAATTAAATCCTCTTCTCCAACCTTCTGCATTAATTGAAGTCCCTAGTTTCTCATTTGCATCCTTGCAGCAGTCACTGGTCTATGCATATATGGTGATTATTCTCCCTGTCTACAAAAATACTCCCAAGCTTACTGTGACAAGTCATCAAACAGATTCAGAAATTCCATTTGTCATCCTTTGTCATCCAAACAGATTCAGAAATTCCTTTTTCTCTGGACTTTCCCCAAATGGAGAGATTTTTTTTTCCCCCAACTGTGCCCAAGATTTAGAGAGAGTTCCTCTAATTGCTTGTAGACGGTATGATTTTGCCTATTTAACTGAGTCTCAGGAAGATTAGGCAACTTGCCCAAATCTCTATAACTAGCAAGGGTTAGAGCTGGGTGAGAGCCCCAGGTCTTTAGACTCCTTGCTGTCTTCTCACAGTCTGAAAAGATTTACTAATGTTTTGGCTTAAGTATATAGTAGCATGTTCCTTATTTATTTCTAATAACCATTCAAGCAGGCTTTTGACTTCCCACCAACTAGAAGATGGCCCAAATGGCTTATGTTCTTAGTGTCATTTTAATTCGCCAGAAATCACTATAAGCACAAATCATTATAAGATGCGCACTGACTTTAAATATCTATAGAAAACAATTAGCAGGATGAATTTTTTTTTTTTTTTTTTTTTTTTTAAGACAGGGTCTCGCTCTGTTGCTCAGGCTGGAGTGCAGTGGCATGATCACAGCTCACTGCAACCTTGACCTCCCTGGTCTCTGGTGATTCTCCCACCTCAGCCTCTCAAGTAGCTACAAGCATGTGCCACCATACCCAGCTTTTTTCTTTTTTTTTTTTTTTTTGTAGAAATTGGGTTTCACCATGTTGCCTAGGCTGGTCTTGAACTGGGCTCAAGTGATCTGCCCACCTCGGCCTCCCAAGTGCTGGGATTGTAGGCGTGAGCTGCCACACCTGGCCAAGATGGTGAATTTAATCCAACTGTATTAACAATTACATTAACTATAAACAGTTTGAACTTACAAATTGAAAAACGAAAGTTGTCATATTGGTTGGTTTTGTTTTTTGTTTTTTGA